CAAGTAATCTTTCATTTTGGCTTTAAGTGTTTTGCAATTCAGCTGCCTCTTTGTCATTTGTGTATCTCTGGCCCCAGGACTACAAACATGGCTGCACATATGGACTGCATCTCCTTGTGTGCCAAACTCCAGCACACAAGGATAGGAATGCTATCAGTGGCTCTATCACCATCAGCCCTTACATCCAGACTTGTCTGCAATAGGGTGGGACAAGTTTAACAGGATTCTCTGTGTAACTTGGTGCTCACTAACTGTTTGTTGAGGAAAGCATGGAACAGTTTTGGGTATATTGCTAGTAGTCTTTCTACCATTAAACCACTTTGTCAGAAAGTACAATGAGAGGCCAACAAGGACTGGTAGTGGAGTTTCAAATCCACGCAGACCACAAGTGTTTAAACTCTGGGTTCTTCATGGGTTCTTCAATTCAGAGATTCTGAAGAGGATTAAACTCAGATCTTTATCCAAGACCCATTTATCAACCTTAGGAAAGTTGCACAAATTATTTTCAGGTTGAATGTATGACCTTTGATTCAAGAAAAGATCCAGGTCTTCTTTTTTGTTTATAAGATCATCCACTCTTTGACTGTGTACATCTTTTTTACAAATAAACAATGCAAAATTAGTAGCCAGTGTCAGCATTCTTCCTAAACTTGGTTACTTTTCTGAAGCTTAAATAATTTTTAAAGCATAAAGATTAAGACTTTCAAATTCATAATGCTCAGATGTTTGCTAGATTAAGAATGAATCTTAAATTGGAAAGGGATGAAATGAAGTTTTATTTAGAGTTCAAAATACTTGCATTTTTGAAAGTTACTCAAGTAACCACATAAAGAATTCTCTATTTTCCAATTCAAAACAACTTAACAGTATACAACTCTTTGCAGATGCCAATCTAAATGTGTCAGCCAGATGTTTTTTTTTCCCTAACACAGTTCAATTCAAATGTTTTATGAAGGACCACCCATGGAAAATAATTAGACAATTAAAAAAATAGAAATTAGGTCTACTGTAGCTGAGAAAAGAATGAATCTTTGAATTTTACAACATAACAAGAGGAAACAGAGGGTGAATTGAATACCTGTGTGAGACAATGATGTGTCACAGTCACTTCCTAGTAAATGAAACATATGTTAGAATATCAGCAAGACATTAAAATGCAGATTGCAGGACATAGAGAAAAAAGAACACATAAAAGCTCTGCTTACCTCTGAAACTAAAATTAGAATTTTTTTAATCTTTTGTAACTTCAGCCAAGAAGCTGAAATTGCTGGGAGTCAAGGACATTAATTATTGAGCTTTTACAATTTAGGTGATTTTTTTTTTCTTTTCCATGAAACTAGCTATCAGCATAAAAATCCCAGTTAAAAATATCATTAACAGAAGTTTCCACTTCTGTGGGTAAGACACCTTTCCTCATGTAATACAAGTGCTGAATGCTGAAGGACAGACAGGAATGTCAGCCAGAAATTCCCCCACCCCCAAGTCCAGTCCCTTGTTATTGCAACAACCACATCTTGTAATGCCTACTGTAAATGAAAATGTTATATGTGATATTGACTGAGAACAGTTAGCTTTCTAATCTTACAGGTCTGCATTCGTACACAGGACACTAAATAAATATGTACTATGAAAAAAGAGAGGATAACATAAATACTTTGGATCTATTTGCCTTACTTACTGAGGAATGGCTGTCAATGTCTCCATTTGCATTTGATTGCACAAATAAATTGTACCAAAACATTCTGGATGAATAAGAACTAATGGAACTTCTGCTCTTTGAATGATTTATCTCAAAAAGACATTTGAAGGACAACATGTATCATTATGACATATACAAAAATAGTAAATCCAAAGGTCACAAAAGGTAATTTAACACTTCACTCTTTTGGAATCCCATACTTGAAACCATGTTACTAACTGTATGCTACAATTAGAATATGGAACTTGCAGTTGCACCAAACAGGTCAGTTATAAACTAAAATAAATCATTGTATCAGTATAAAATAAACTGACTGCAACTGCTAGAAAAGGGAACTGCAATAAAGGTTTTTTGGAGCTACTGAAGGAAGATCCAAGTTTTGTCAACATGGTACAATAGCTTATAAAAAGGTTTTGTTACTTACATTTTCACTCCCTCCCTGATGTGGTCAGCAAATAAGAGAACCTAAGCCTCAGTTATCACAAAGAATCTTCAAAAGATTGAAATTGAAATGCTGTTGTACTCTGAAGCCAAGATTGTCATGGTTCGATTGGATCTCTTATTTACAGGACAACATGGTCTGTAAATTATGAGCCTATGAGCTCTTTAGGAAAGGAAAGAAACACATCAAACAAAGGCTCAATCTCCTTCAGACAAATGAGACTAACATGGGAATTCACTAATTCATTCCTTAATTCATGAGGTTTTTAATTCACAAGTTGTCTAAGTCATAAGTTAAAAGATATAAGCAAAATACTCGCAGAGCTGCTGCTGAGAGTGCTCATCCTTTCTCCTCCACCACAGTACAGGCCTCCCATGTATCCCATCAGGAAGCATGAAAACCTCAGCAGATTGGCTGATGCTGGATATGCTTCAGAGGTGTTTTTGGGCAAGCTGTCATGTTTGTGACTTCCAGCTTTGACATTCAGTCTACGTGATTCCCATAAGTTAGTGGATTCTGAAGGAACTGACATCAGTAGGAAGAATTATGTCTGTAGCAGACAAGTAATGTCTTCATAATGACCTGAGCCCCTCCTGTAGGCTTCCTACGTGTTGCTCTCTCGGATCTCACAGCACTGGTCCCAACAACATCAGGTCTTTGTGTGAGCTGTGTGTTAGCTAAAACCTGAGCAGGAACTGAGTGAAGAGCCACATGACAGAAAGAAAAGCCTAAATATGTTTCATGAAATGGAAGGAGATATGATCAGGTACCAGTTTGGAAACTGCTTCCACAGAACGTATAAAGTTTTTAATTTAATATTTTAAATATATTAGTTCATATGAAAGTTGCTAACTGTAGTATAGTAAGAGCTTTTTTCACAGTAGGTAAGTTTTACCAATGAAAATATAAATTACCTGGAGGCAGGTAACAATCAGGTGATTCTCCCAGTGTCTAGATAAGCTGTAGAAATGCATGTCTGTGTGAATACCAACAGCTTAGAAAGTATTTGTAAGGCTGGGCACTATGCCCAAGGGTCCCAGTGGAAAGGTTGGTGCAACCTAATGGGAGAGAAACTAGTCTTTGAGGCACTGAACAACTGTTTAGAAGGTGAGGAACAATCTGAAGAGCTTGCCTAGTCATATCCTGCTGCAACCATTTGCTTTTAGCCACTGATGGATGAATGGAGAAGGAAACTGAAACTGTCTGAAACAGGATTCCGTAGGAATGTATCCAATTAAACCACAGAGAAAATATATTGTCTATTATATGAGAATTACTTTTTCTGAATCTACATTTCTCTTTGTCTTCAAGGCTGAAGATAGTGAATGAAACAGAATAGGAAAAAATACTGATATAAAGGAGCAGAAGTGACAAAGGAGCGAGAGAAACATAAAGCTCTTTGGGAGAAAGATAAAAAGCTGAACAGGTTTCTGGAGAACTTTATTTTCACTTCCACTCATAGAAAAAACATCAAAGGTAGAAAAGACAAGCACTCAAGATTAGATTTAAGACAGTGTAGTGGTGAATCAGCTGTATTAGAAAGCATATGTGTTTTCAGTTTTCTTGTTTCATCTTTTTTTCAAACTTTATTATTATTTTATTTTAATGCACAGATTTTGTCAAGCCTTTCTCTTCATTAATCTATTTGCTAACAATTAGCATAAGTCTTCCAAGAGAAAACTGGAAAGTTTTGCAAAATTTTAGTGCAATTTATATTAGTTGGTCCTGGAGCCAGAAAAAAGGCAATTAGATTCCTGCTTTCTGGAGATGATGACAGATTGAGCTCTGCATCCTGAGAACTTAGCCAAGGACACTGAGAAACAGTACCAGAACTCAGGGTCTGAAACACTAATAGAGAGCTGGCAGGTTATCTTGCATCAATTTGATGACTAACTGAGAAATGTTGCTTGGCTTGGTTTCTTCATGGCTCAGAGCCTACTTCAGGATGAAAAGAGACTCCACTGTGGTAATAAAGACAGGGTACTTACCAGGCAGATAATAAAAGTAAGGTTTTGTTCATCAGAGAATCATTGAGCAATTCTTGCAGAGAGGGGCCTTTGGAGGTCACTGGTTGCTCCTCACCACCTCTGCCAAACCAGGTCAACTTAAATTTGATCCAGCTTCAGGGATAGAATTGTTCAGAATCTTCTCCAACCAAAGACTGAAGATCCCCAGGATTAGGGTTGCCACATTTCCCATACTTAATTAAACTCAGGGTGTGATTTTTTTTTTCCCTTTCCTTATATTGTATTGGAACACCACATGTTCCCTCTGTGCTTTTCATCTTTGTGCACATCTAGAAGAGTCCTGCTTCCTCTTCTCTATGCTCTCACATTAGGTAGCTGAAGGTAGCAACTTCCCTTTTTCTCACCACCATAAACTAACCCATTCCTTTATCCCTTCCCATGATCATATTCATAGTTCTCCACTGAACTAACTCCAACTGGCCAATACTTTTCCTGTATAGGGAAGCTCAAAATGTGATGCTGTGCTCTAGCACTGATAGAAGAGAATTAGACAACCCCTAGCTGCTGGCTATATTCTCTTATATGGAACAACAATGAGTTACTTTTCTTCACCTAGAGAGAAAAGGGCAACTCTTGTCCTAATTATTGTCCAGAAGAATGCCTAGATGTTTTCCCCATGAAAATGCTTTCCATCTGGTCATGGCTGAGCATGAACTCCTGAATGCAGCTGGTCCAGCCCAACTGGAGGACTCTGCAACTCTTGAAATTCATGAAATGTTTATTCACCCATTTTTTCAGCCTGTCAGGATCCTTCTGCCTGACAGCCCTGCACTCCAGTTGATCATCACTCTCTACTCTGGTTTGATACATTAGAAGGAACAAGAAACAGAGATTTTGTTGTATTTATGAGGTTTTCTTTTTTTACTCTTCCCTTTTCTGGATGGAAGTACATGTGAAAGGCAAAAAATTTTATGCTAATACAGATTTATAATAACTTTCAGTAGAATTTGTCTTCTGGACAAACATGAAACCAGTATTCAGTATACTCCACAAGACTGATTAATTTTGGATGTCCCTGCTGCCATGATTCCTTACAAGGAATTCAATTCCTTTCAATTTCTTTCAAGGAAGGAGGCAATGTTTATCTTCTACACTAGAAGTACATTCCAGACAAAGAATATTAAAAAAAAACCCAAACATTTCACATATAATTGTTGGGAATGAGAGAGTGGGAAAAGACTGAAATAAGATTCCCAACAGATCAAGAATAAGAAATACTGAATTATTCAAAGAATAAGTTCACAGTTAGCAACAGCTCATTAAAGAGAGTACAAAATATGTCACTAGGACTCTGAGTCCATAAACCAGACTCTGCTACAGAGGTTTTTTGCAGGGTGCAAAATGCACTATGCCCAAGGACCCCAAACCCCAGTTGCTGCTGGATCGCAGGCGGGGTCCTCATCAGGGTAGAACACAGGCACTGAACGTTTGTGATAATGCTGAAGCCGTGAGAGCAGTTTTTCCACTACGTGAGGGTATTTTTCAGACACGTCATTTTTCTCTTCAGGGTCATGAACAATATCAAACAGCCAAAGTCTCTTTGTGGATGGATCAGATGACTGAATCTGTGACTCATTGTACAAGGACGGTGGAGGGAACCAATGACTGCAGCCTACAGGAACAGGAACAGACCAAGGGTCACTTCTGAGGTACAGAGCAGCAGTGTGGAGACACAGTTTTGCTACAATTGATTAATTCACTAGGTCTCTTGACAAGCCACTGTGTAGTGACAGTTGCTGCAGACCTTAACTCTAGTTCTGCACCAGAGTCTCTCTAGTGCAGGGCTACCTAAATAGGAGTCTCATTTATGCAAAAAAACCACTGCACCACTGAGATCCAAAATTCCATGTAACTTTATTTCATATCAATTAATTAATTCAGTGGCCCTTCCTCTTGGATGCTATGATCCTTATGGATCCCAATATTCTATAAGTTTTTTTCCCTACAGTTTAAGTAAGTTGCAGACAAAATATTTCGAAAATGAAAAAAATACATAGTTTGCATTTTAGAAGTGCTAAATTGTGCTAAATGCTAAATGTGCTAAATGCTAAATTGTGATAAGTGCTAAATGCTAAATTCTGTCATCTTTGCATGTGATCAAAAACCTAAGAAGTTAGGAGAATTTCTAAACATATGAAACAAAATTAAACTGTTTGTGGTGGGTGGGAGATAGGATACACTGTACAAAAAGGAGGTATTTTGTTACCTGGATATCCAGTTAGTAACTTCCATTTTCCATGTCTTATTGCTGCATGTATGGATGTATTGAAAAGCGAATCATCCCAAGGAGAAGAATTGCTCTGTGGTAAAGATGTCCTCTTATCAATGCCAAGACCTTAATCAAACAATAAACTAAGTTAGGAACATTGCATATTCATGAGGTAATTTTTAGAACTCTGTTGGAAAAGAAAGCAGTATCACCCATTTATTTTTCCCTACTGGATAAAGAATTTGTTATATATATGCCAAGATCTGTGCTATGACTAAAGGGATGTATTTAACTCTGAACCTGAACTCCATTTTAAAAATTTACCAGTGGAATGGTAAGTAAAATGTCACAGCTGAGTCCAAATAACTGGATTCATTTTGTACACAGGTATTATATGTGTATCTCATATACCTGTATTAAGAACAATCAAAATTGGAATTGCTAAATTTGGTCATAAAAGTGCCTGTATCTTTTTCCAGGGAGGAATATAGGATTGAAAGATCTCCTGAGGTCAATGTTACTACTGCTAATTCTCTTAGGTCACTTCAGGGAACAAGTCCCAGGTTCTGACCAAAACAGAGAGCTGTCCCTTTGGGCTGAGCTGGCTGTGTTCACAAAAATCAGCAAGCTTCTTCTTTGGCACATCTTCATACTGTCTCTGGAGGAGCTGTGTATGATGTGTTCCCATATTCTGATACTATTGAAAACTGAAATGTCAGCTATGCACACATTCCCTCTCAATAGGGAACCTGAAGCTCCTTATAGGAGGGAGCTCAGTAAAAATAATTAAAATGCATTGTCAAGGGATGATTAGGAGACCACTTTGCTATTGAAACCAACGGGAGGAAGCAAGTCAGACAGACAGCCCCGGAGCATCCAAACCAACTTCCATGTCAGCCTTCATAAATAAAATAGGCATTCAAGACATAACATCTAGAAGTTTTATATTAACTGTATCAGCTGATAACAGTTTACCAATGACTACCAGAAGGCAACTTTAATCAGACAAGAAGACACATTAGAAGATGGAGAAAAACCAATGTTAATTTTCTAGCTTCTTTCCGAAAGAGATGGTTTTCAATCAGTTTAGGGAATCTGAAGGACTTAGATGACAGATTTTTGGATGAGAATCCATGAGATGTACAATGATCATGTAAGAACCAATAGGAAGCAGAACTAGGTATTTCTAAAAAGAGTAAATTTTGCAGAACACAGTGGGGCAAATACACATCTAATGGAAAGAAGAACAGAAATTTGGGAAAGGAAATGATAGACAAAATTTCTCCATTTTTTATGAAGGACTTGCAGAGTTTCTACTTTCTTGCTGGACTTTACACTTTGAGTTTATTTTCTTTAATGAACAGATTTGTGCATACCAAAGTTCCCCATCTACATCAGACTTGTGTAATGTTCCCAGATTGTAAGGATATTGGATGAGGAATAAGGATATAAAAGGGGCTACTTTTTGGAGTATGCATACACAGACTGGGGAGGACTCAGCTCATCTTAGATCAAGAAGCACTGAAGCTGATCTAAAGAAGAAAATAAACCTCAAACCCCTATGAAAACAAGGAAAACCTCATAAGTAAGCCCAGCAGAATTTCTTCTGGAAGATAAATCGTCACACAGCCATGTGATCTCCATAGAAAATATGAAACAGTTTAAAGATTAATTCTACTTACTTTTCAACATCATTGTGTTATGTGTTATTCTGTCATTTGCTTTGCTACTCCTCCTCGACTACTCCTCTTTGCCATTTACTTTCTTAAGCATAATGAAAGACATTCAGCAGGTCAAAAAAGAGAATCATGCTTTTTAAGCCTTCTGTCTCAGAACTACAATTTCAAGGCTTGGTCTAAAGATAAAATTATATGAAGTTGCATTTCTGATTTTAAAGTTTATCATGAAGTATATGCTTCTGCTTGCTGAGCTACATGCAGTATATGTGGAACTACAACATTACACAAGATAAACTATTTAAAACACTTCAAATAAATGGTATGAAAGATTGTATTTTTAGATATACTTTGCAAAATATCCTTAGAATGCCATATATGAGACTCAAAATAAGATTCAAGGAGATAAAATAGTTTTTAAACACTCTGATTTGGTCCAGGTAATAAAACTATACTCCTAAATGAAAAAAATGCTTTTACCAGAGAATGAAGCTCAAGTTATTTGGTGAAATACTGTGAAATACAGCAAACTTTCTTAAAGAAAAATTGATAAATTCCCTCATGTTGAGCTGTTATAAACAGAACTCTGTCAGTCATGTTAATTCACCCACTGCAAGCACTTGTTTTGTGCCAAAGAAATATACTGTCTATTATTCAGGGAAGTGCATTGCTTTCCAGACAGTACAAGTCAAATTTCATCTGACATATTGGTCATGGAACACAGACTGATGCTTGTTCAAATGCTCTCTACAAGGATACTTACAGGACTGTCAGTTTAGTACATTACATAAGCACCACACACAGAAGTATTTTAAGTATATAATAAAAATTTTGCTTGATAAGAATTCTTTTCTTCCCATCCTATGACTTGCAGCTTAAACTCAGATATTCCTCCCTCTGCATTTACCCATCTTCCTCCTTTTACAGGGATCCCTTTTCTGATTTCGCAGACTGAAAAAGTCATATTGGTTTTTTTCCTTTTCAAGACAAAATGTTCACTCCCATAGCATCTAAGCAGGTTTTTTTTCCTGCATTTGTTCTATATTGTGGGGGAGGTTTTATTTATTTTTTTCCATTATGGATGACAGGAACAACAGCCCTGTGGACTAATTCTGCAGTCAAAAGACAGATGCCTTTTATTAAGCTCTGTAATCAAGCCAGGCTTCATAGGTCTGCATACTCTCCTTACAGATTTGTATATTAAAACATGTGATGCTTTTGCTTGTGTAGAGGCTAAACATTTTACTTTTTTACCATTGGATCAGTGTATCAGTGGCTAATGAAATAAGCCTTTGTTTTTACCTTGAAAGAAAGTCCCACAGCCTTTCCCATGAATTTTATTATTGTCAAACAGAAGCCACTGTTTCCTGAAGCTCAGCTTTGGAGCCTCACCAGCAGCTATATTTCTTTTTTAAGTAGTCTCTTGGGAAATGATAAAACTTGTATTAGTTAAGAAAGCAGTGACCTTTCATTCAGATATTTATTTTCAAATATTTAATGCTAAAATGGATTTTTCTAATGATTTCAGAGTTTTGGTTAGAGTTCTAGGTCACCAATTAGTATTCAAATAGCTTTTATATCTCTATAGTAAAAGAGAGATAAATGTCTCTCAGAAGACATTGCCCTTGGCAGATGATTTTGGAGTTTATAGCATAGTTCCAGAAATCCTTTGTATTGACAGTCTTAACAATGGTTTCAGGATCAGATTTTTAAAGGAGTTGAGGTGGCCAACTCTCACTACCCACAAAAGTAAATACTTTAGAAGTCTGGCCCTTTGCCCTTTACAGAAACTTCAGCTTAGTTCTTTTACTTTTGTTATCATACATTTTTCATATTAGGATGAAATATACATATTTCAAATTAGGATGAAAAATCCTATGTAATTTTCAACAGGTAATCTGCAACTTCAAGAAACTTAATTTTTTCAAAGGCCAATGTCATTAACTCTGAAAAATCTACACAAGATGCTCAGAAAGCATCAGTCAAGATGTGGGCTACTTTTGTAGAAATAATTGCCATTTTGATAATTTGAATATTCCATAGCATACTCTTCAGGCAGAATGTTGGAAAATTTACTACTGGATAAGTACATAAGTAATATCCTGACTGTTAACCAGAGAATATCCTGGACCTTTTAGGAAAAGTGAAAAATCTTTCAGTGCACTAAGTCTTGCTAATGCACAAATGTAAGTGCAACAAAAGGGAAAGTAATGAAGATGGCAGAGAAAAGCCAACACTCCACATACACAAGAGCATGTGCTCTGAACTAGCTATTGCTATTAGGGAAGTGTTTGCAAAGTTTTAATGAACAAGTATGGTCCAGAGGCTGTCCAGAAAAGCAATCCCAATACTAAAATTGGCAACAAACAGGACACTATGCCGCCACTGAGATCCTTCTTGTGCCTCACATGGTGTACTGTGCAGTTTTGGCTCCCATGTTATGAAACAGACACAGAAAAGCCATGCAAGATACAAAGGCCTGAGACAAGGACAACTAAAGCTATGGAACAACTTGCATGTGAAGAGTGACTAAGTAAATAGGACTCTTTATCCTCAAAAGTGGACAACTGACGAGAGAAAGGACAGAGGTCTAAGAAATTACATGGCCAGGGGAACCTGAGTAAGAACAAGAAGTCTTTCCCAATAAGAGCATTGAATAAATCAAGATGTCATGTATTGAAAATAAATAATAGTATATATTTCCTAATTACAAACCAAACTCAGGTGTGGAATTCCTTTACATGGAATGCTGTGGGTGCCAAAAGTTAATGCAGGTTGAATAATAAAAGGATTCACAAAGTGGAAGAAAAATCCCTCAAGAATTATTACATCCAAAATCACAGCCTAAAGATTAGGAGTAGGCCACGGGGGCCACACAAGAGAGGTGTATTTATGTGCTTGCCCTCATGTACTTTGTGCTACACAACTGCTACTCTCAGGACAATGAACTGGACAGATTTTTGGTGTGGTCTTACACAAGATGTGTTACCAAATTACTTTCCATTCAGAAGAGGCAAATAAAAAATTAACAAAAGAAAGTGCTATATCGAAGTACATTCATATAACTTTTATTATATTAATCCCTGTATGCAGGGATTAATATAATGAAAGTTGTATGAATTCACATACAACTGACCTCATTTAGTATCCCATGTGTACTCCTGTTTTAAAACATCATTTATGTTAGGAGGATAGCTCTTCCAGAAAAAAAAACTGTCTTCCTACATATTTTTGCATACACTTACAGCAGCCTTCTGCTTAGTTCATTAGTTCATCTATCAAACTGGGCATTGATTTCTGGAGGTGGAAAATAGGAAGCAAAATGTTTTCACATTTCTACCCTTCTGATCAACGTATGCTTGAGAATCAATCATCTGTTTCTTGGCTCATACAATCCTAGTTACCTACCAGAAACTTATCTAAAATTAAAAAATTTGAATTTATCTGACT